CAAAGGATCTGCAAAATGTGGTACAGGGTTAAAGGATAAATCCTCAGGGGACTTGACTGACCTTATCAGATACAAAAGTTACATTTCTTGTTATACAGGTCTTGCTTTATCTTGATCTTAACCATCTAGCAGAAAAGTATAAAAATGAGGTATATAAAGTAAAGCCATATTAATATGCTAAACTGTGAAAGGTTCAAGTCAACAACTTCTGGGGATAACCCACTACTATTGTGGGCTGCTGGACTCTGTTGGATTGTTTTGCTGAATTTATTCACCTATAGTATTTAGATGCCAATGGAATGTTTTGCTGACAGGACTAAACAAAAAAAGGGATACAAAGGAAGGACCATTTTGTATCTATATATACAGAATAGTTAGTATAGATATAAAGCTACTTTCCTTAATTCAATGAGAAGAAAGATTTGTACTAGCAGTGTTTGGACAGGATATCCTGTCTGCATCTTGTACTATGGATAACCACTAAGAAGATAACAATGTACAATATTAATTATTGAAACTATCCTATTAATCAGTGTTGAAACTTTCTTGTTGCTATTTGTTTCTCAGTAAAATAAAATAAATAAATCATAAAAAACTACTCCTTTCAATAGACCAGTGCAAATCAGCAGTATAAATATGCAAACTGTCCTGCATACATACATAAGTGTATCTTCTTTCCTTCTTTCTTTAGTTCTTTGCCTCATTCCAATTTTTTCTTCCCATTGAACACATTCTTTCCCTTTCACAGGATCTGTTGGGCCTTTCAGATTTTATTTACTTTTTCAGGTTCTCACACTAGCAAGACAATACAAAGATTGCACATGTAGGTATAATTTATTCACTTACCTTACAATCTCTAATGACATCCATTTACCTATAAAAGCTTCAAATTTACATTTTTTATACCTGAGTAATACTCCATTGTGTAAAAATGCCACATGTTTTATCCATTCCTCGGTTGATGGACATTTAGGTTGTTTCCAAGATTTATCTATGACTAATTGTGCTGCTATAAATATGGGTACACATATATTACTGAGATATGATGATTTCAGTTATTTTGGAAAAACACTTAGAAGGGGAATAGCTCTAATCTTAGCTTTTTGAGGAATCTACACATTGATTTTCATAATGTCTGTACCAGTCTTCACTCCCACCAAGAATGTAAAAGGAACCCCATAACCCCTCCAGCATTTGTTATTGGTTGATTTTTTGATTATAGCCATTTTCTCTGGCTGATTATAGAATATCAGTGTTGTTTTAGTGTGTATCCCTTGAATAACCAATGATGTTGAGCATCTTTTCATATATTTATTTGCCATTTATATTTCTTCATTTGTGAAGTGTATACTCATCTCAGATGGCAATTTTTGGATTGGCTCTTTGAATTTTGGAGGCTTGATGTTTTGAAGTTCTTTGTTCTACACAAAAGTCTTCTGTCTGTGGGACAGTTCATTATAGTTTTTCCCCACTCTGTGGATTTTCTTTTACTCTGTTGGTGAGTTCTTTTGACTTGCAAAAACTTTTCAAAGAGATGAGCTGCCAATTGTTAATTTTTTTAAATGTATTTGGTACAGGGTATCATTATACAGCTTGGACTCACTGTGATCCTCCTGTTTTCACACTTCCAAAGGCTGTGACTGCAGGTGTGTGCCAGCACGCCCAGTCTCACTGACCAGTTCAGTGCACCTATAGGCGGGGCCAGGATTGCATGTGGTGCCAAAATCCAAACCCCGTCTCTGTGCCTGCCTAGACAGGCACTTAAACTGCTGAGCTGTCTTGCTGGCCCTGCCAACTGTTAATTCTTTGAAATGTTTTCCGTGCATTTTTTCATAAACTCTCTACCTATGCCTATATCTTTAAGATTTCTACGACTTGCCTCCCCAGAAGATTTAGTGTTTCAGTTTTTTTATTTAAATCTTTGACTCATTTTGACTGTTGTTTAGTGTAGGATGGTAGACATGCATCTATTTTTAGGTTTTGGAATGGGCAAAGCCAGTTTTCTCTAGCACCATTTATTAAAGAGGCTATTTTTCTTCTAGCAAACATATTTGGCTTCTTTATCAAAGATAAGGCAGCTACGTATCTTTGTATTTGTGTCTGCATCTTCTAAACTGTTCAATTGATCCACAGGTCTATTTTTGCCAGTACCATGCTGATTTTATCACAGAAGCTTTGTGGTGTAATTTCGAGTTAGAGATTGTGATGCTTCCTGTCTTTCCTTTTTTCCTCAGGATTGATTTTGCTATTGTACATCTCTTCTGGTTGTAGATGAATTTTAAGAATGTTTTCTCTGGATCTGTGAAGCATACTAATGGCATTTTAATTTGGGTTGCATTGAGTCTGTATAAAAGTTTTGAAAGTATGCCTATTTTAATAAGGCCTATTTTTCCTATCCAGGAGCAAGGAATATATTTCCATTTTCTGAAATCCTCTTCAATCAGTTTTGTCAAAGTACTATAATTTTCTCTGTACAAAACTTTTACTTCTTTTGTGGATTCATTCCTAAGTATTTCATTTTGGGAGATGTTATTGTCAAAGGTGTGGTTTCTGTAATTTCTCTGTATGTTTGTTGGTTTTGTATAGAAATGCTATTGATTTTTTAGTGCTAACTTTGGATCCTGCTACACTGCTTAATTTGGTTATTAGATCTACAAGTCTCTTGATGGAATTTTTCAGGTTTTTCTATGTAGAGTATCACATCATCTACAAATAATGATAATTTCCTCAATAGTTCACACACAGAAAATAAAATAAATAAGTAAAAATAAAAAATAAAACCTGCTGGTCACAATATGGCTATGAACCAGTGATCTCATCTAGGCTCAGAATTGTAGTCTCAAAATCTTCTCAGACTCACTAGATCAGGACATGCATTTTAGACAGTTCATGGGAGAGCTGTGCACACCAGTCTTTCTTGTTAATTAACAAGTTCAGGATTCGCAAAAATATACTTGAAGAAAAGGTAGACAACTGGGGAAACTTAAGTGGTAATTACTGCCATTCTCCAGGAGGTCTATCTCCAAGAAATGAAAATCCTTGGAGAGTATTTATCTCTTGTGATATTTGTTGCCTGGCAAACCCAGGGCAAATCTCCAGAGCACAGTAATCAGAACCATTAAGGTAACAATAAAAGTTAAAATTGGAGATGCTGACTCATGGTACAAACAAGATTAAATACTCAGACTGAGGCCAGGTCCTGCCTTCCCTGCTCCAAAGTCGCCGAAGGCCAGGTACCTGTGGGTCTCATTGGCAGTATCAGTGCTATTGTCCTCCATGTCAAAGATAGCAAGTTGCAAGTAAAATTTGACATTAAGGTTTCAGAAAGACAAAGGTGAGTTCATTTACTCTATGCTTATAATTTGTAACCTTTAGTTAGGTCCAGAAATGATGATTATGAAAACCCAGGGAAATGTTCCTGTATGTATGTATGTATGTATGTATGTATGTATGTATGTATTTCTAAATTAGTCTTCCAACTTCCCTTGATGTACCAGATGTGTTTCTGTTACTGGTAACCCAGATGAAAAATTATCTCTGTTGCCATCAGCATTACAGTATAGGTCACAGGGAATTTTTCACAGCTATAAGCTCCATTCTTAGATGACTGGGATGGAAGCGTAACTTGAACCCAGTTCCTTGAGACAAGCTGGAACATCAGAGGAAAAGCCCCTTAAGTGGCTAATGCTGCTTAGGAATAAAAGCCATCTGCACAAAGAGCAGAATGACCCAGGCAAGGAGAACAAATTGGAGATGATTTCTACCATGAATAAAATTTTAAATGAAATATAGAAGAAAATAAGGATTTACTAGACAACAGAGAAAGTGACTGTCAAAATCATTTCAGGTAGAAGGAAAATCAAATCAAAATGTTAATGGAGTGAATGACATTTCCTAGGAAATTAAAGAAGTCAAAAGTGTCACTGCAGAGGAGGAGGATGACATCATGAGCTAAGTAAGGGTAGAGGAGAAGTTAAGTGGGTATTTGTATTATTATAAGATAATTTAAGTAATTTTTTTCCTATTTTTAAGTAGGTTGCCATTAAGTTTATTTTCTGATATCTTCACCAGCTTCTCTATACATTTTATATTGTCACTGTCCTTTCCTGAAAAGGACACATACAAATAATACATGTATACACAAGAGACTTAGGATGGATGTACAGCTACTTTCTCCTAGTTCATTGAAAAGAAAGATTTGTACTAATGTTGTTTAGACAAGATAGCATGTCTGCATCTTGTCCTCTGAATAACTACTATGAAGAGAACAATACGCAATGTATTAATTATTGTAACCATTCTACTAACCTATTTTGAAACTGCTTCATTGCTACATTATCTTTTTTTCTCATTAAAATGAATAAAAAAATTAAAAAATAAAAATAAATACATATATACATAGCTCAAAATGCAATATGCTGGGTTCATCACGGGACTTGCTTACCTCCTGCACACATAGAAAATACTTACACCAGTACCAACACTGAGGTAACTGTCCCTATTGTGTAGATGGAAAACAGTTTTTGCCAGATGGTGATATCTAAGAGGTTCTGTGTATTATGGACGCCTCTTCACTATTTCAAGAACTAGGAAAAAAAAAAAAAAAGCAAACCAACACCATTATGACACACTGATAGAAATCTAATTCTATGGCACATGGGTTTGGAAGCTATGTTATAGCCCCCATGGAGATTATTGTGCAATAATATAATAATCTTGACCAATCCATTATAGTCTGTAATTGATACTCTTAAATGAAATTCACAATTCCAATTGTTTTGCTCAACATATAGTTTTCCAATGGCTTCACTGAGTTAAGAAATGATGCCTTTGTGTTTTATTCCTAAGGTCCTTTTGCTCTTTGCAGACAGAACTGGACACTGGGTCAGCTCGGCCAGGTGCTGTGTCTGCTGCCAGTGTTCTTTAGTTTCTGATCTCTGGAGCTCATCAGCTAACAGCCCATAGCCTGTGATGCTTATTTTCCTTTCTTTACTGTTGAAGGGCCTGTACTGCAGCACATGGGGTCAACACAAAGGAGGGGACCTCGCATAATAATTGAGTGCTGTTTAGATAGCAGTTGCAGGCCCAACTGGTGCAGAGATCCAGGACATTATCAGATGTTATTGTGGTGATCCCATAAAGGGGCAGAGCTGTAACCAGAGAAGGTTCTAGAAGGCTATGGAGGTAAGAACGTTGAATATGGTCCCAGATTTCTCTCTCTTTCCGATCTTAGCTACACCAGGTTGTGCCCTTCTTTATCTAAAATGGCAACAGTAGCATCTGAAATGGCTACGAGGACAACAATATACAATGTATTAGTTATTGAAACTGTGCTATTAATCGGTTTCAAAACTGCCTTATTGCTATTTGTTTCTCAATAAAATTAATAAAAAATAAAAATAAATAAAAATGAAATGGCAGGAGTTGAGGAAGGAAACATCTGATACTGGAGCTGCACCCATCTTGAGAGTGACATTGAAGAAGAGTGGCCACTGGGTAGCTGGGGAGACACAGAAGGGAGCTTTTCCAGACCACTGGGCTTGCAAAGGGTGGTAAAGAGAAGTGAGTGGAGGGCTATAACACCCCTCCTTACCAAACTATACCTCCCACAAGACAAGAAAAACAAGAAATCAAGCTTGTGTTTGTCTCATTTTCTGAACTAACTCAGTCATGATATGTTTGTAAAGAATTGTTATTTAAACTAAATTTAGGAGTTAGTATTTTTTCCTTAGATTAAGTTATTTGTTCCAACTATTTTCCCAAAAATAGATAATCACCATACTTGATTTGCAAGTTTATTCTATTTTACTTTTGTGAGAGTAAATTGTATTTCTTTTTCTGTATTTTAGGGAAGGGTCTACACGGCGTTCAGGGTCTCACTACTAGATTGACTTTGTAGTGAATCTCCTGTTTATAACCTCCCAAGTGCTGGGATTGCAAGCATGTGCCACCACACCCAGTCTTAATAGCTGTCTCAGCACACCCCCAGGACAGTGCCAACAGGGTAGGCCCAGGGGTTGAACCCCCAGCTCCTGTGCCTGCTTGCAGGAGCTTTAATTCACTGAGCTATTTGGCCAGCCCAAATGTAGTAGTTTAGTTATCATGAATAAAAAAGACTGAATAGCCTAACTTCAAGATCCCATGAAAGAAAATAGCCCACCTGGATAAAGAGTTAACTCTAGCAGCTAAGCCAATGTTAGAGATACAAAGATAAACATAAGAAGCTACCATAAAAAGGAAAGGAGGTTCTTTCTTCCTGAAAGAAGCCTTGATAAATTGTTTGACAACTCCTCCCAACTTAAGACTTCTTGACTTCAAACAAATTTTGAGAAAACATTATAAATACAAAACAACTAGCTTCTTTGTGAACTCTTGAACTCATCTCCTTTGAAGCAAGTCCCTGTGCTCTAAAGCCAGGACAAGGAAAACATTTTGCACTTTTTCCTCCTCATTTTATTATTTCTGATAAACATTCTCTTAAATTCCACATTTTGTTCTCAAATTTATTCACTTTTGGGAATCAAAGGGCTTGGGTTCAAGAAGCCAGACAGACAGCTCAGCAGACTAAAGTGCCTGCTTAGCCAGAGGGCAGTGCCCAGGGTTCAATCCCTGGTACCATATGCTATGCCAGCCCCATCCCCGGGACATGCTGAGATGGCAATTGAGACTGGGTGTAGTTGTGTGCGCCTGTACTCCCAGTGATTGTGAGGCTGAAAACAGGAGGATTACTATGAGTCCGATCTGTGTAATCAGACCCTGTATGTAGACCGTGTATTGAATACATAGAAAAAGAACTTGGGTACATAAAAATTAGCTGCATTTTTAATATGAACAAGTTATTTGAAGCTATGGAGGTAATATACAGGAAAACTAAAAACAAAAGAGCCTTATTCTACAGATCCTACAGATTAAATTATCTCAGGGGAACAGGGCTAAGGCAAGTGGTTAAGAAACTTGTTTTTATTTACAAATATGTACATTTCTACATGCATCATTTTTAAATATAGTAACCTCCGTGAGAGACTCTAATGATCAACTATACTGAGAAATATCTGATATAAACTGTGTTTGTACTCAAATATATTCCACATCTTATTGTAAAACAATGCCCTCCCCAATTCTATCTTCTTCCCAATCATAAGAGCCTGTATCATCTGATGGGATGAGATGAATATAAACTTTATATATGTAACGTTCATATTGAGTAACTAAAATGTTGGCTTTGATGCAAAATTCCCTTCACTTGGACTGGCTGGATGGTAGAAAAGCAGACACTTACTAATCTTATATATGGATGCCAACCTCAGAAATTGGCAATGATACAAAATTCAGAGTATGCTCATTGACCACAATGATATGAAAAGAGACTTTTAAAATAGAAATAGGAAAGATTACTCAGCATCTATAAAGTCAAGAATTCACTTTTACATGATATATGACAAAATGAAAAAGTAAAACACCAACTAATGAATATTTTTAAGTGAATGATATTTCAAATTTAATACATTAAAATTTGTGAGATAAAACTAAAGAGCTGAGAAAGAAATTAAAAATATTTAGGACCATAGAAGAAGGAACAAAACTTGAAGTATTAATTTAAGCTTACACTTCAAGAAGTGTAAATTATGACACCAAAATATGTGCGGAATGAAATGATCAAGCAAGTATAAGTAAATGTTCCATATTTCATGTTGTTTAACATCCAAATATAATCTGGAATTTTACAAATTATGCACCCTAGTTAAATTATATATTCACTGTTTAACAGAATAGGAGACAAAATTTATAATTCTAATAATTAGATTAAATATATAATTAAAATTCTAATAATTCCCTTATTGTGTGCCTATACTTTCTATCCCTTCTAATTTACAAAGGAAAAATTAAAATACTTAGATTTTTCTTTTTGCAACTTGAAATCAGTAATTACCACTTATATTCCTGCTGGTACAATGTTAATGTCTATGAACACAATTAACAACTATGCTTACCTTTTCTGATTAATAAATCTCTTACCAATTATATTACAATTATATTATAAAATAAGTAAAATTGTTTTCTTAATGATTGAAAAATCATGATGTGAACCGTTTACTCATCTCGTGGTACCAATTAATAAACGATGAGGTCCAAATATGAGCACAGCAAATTTGACTTCAAGGCCTAGATATTAAGTGACTACTCATTCTGCATCCCTCAAAGGAAATCCAGGATACTGGGTATGTGACTCTCAAAGAGCTAGCTGTGGCTTACTGCAGCTTGATAGATTTGTACAATGATTGTTGTAAGTGTTGATTCATTTTAGTAATATCTGAAGTGCAGAAGATTTCATGGAAAAACCCTAATTTCTTGACATTATATGAAAAATGAAAAAGTTTCAAAATACTATCTATGCTCACTCCTATCAAAAATTCATTTCTATCTGTGTAAGGCAATGGCCTATCCATCTTGTGATTTGAAATCAGTTCCCAGTCATTCCATTTATCTTCATAAACTTCTCTAAACGTTCAGGCTTGCAAATCTCAAGTCAGATATATTGTCTTGAAGTCATTGAAATGTTAAAACCATAACATAAAATCTCTGAAGATTTTGAATTATTAAACATATAAGTATCACATAAAATCATTATATATGAAAATATAGATTAACAGATATTACACTCAAATTGTACTTAAATAAGGTGATCAAGACTGAAATGATCATATAGAAATAAAGGGGGTACCCTACTACTAAAGGTGATAGCAATCACATCCTTTGAAAAACTGTGTCTTCTCTCTCCTTCAGAAACTGCACAGAGGCATGGCATCAGGGAACTGTTCCACAATGACTGAGTTCATCCTTGCTGGCTTAACTGAGAAGCCAGAGCTCCAGCTGCCATTCTTCCTCATCTTTCTGGGAATCTACATGTTCACAGCAGTGGGGAACCTGGGCATGATCACCCTGGTTTGGATCAGTTCTCACCTGCACACCCCCATGTATTATCTCCTCAGCAGTTTGTCCTTCATTGACTTCTGCCACTCTACTGTCATCACACCCAAAATGCTGGTTAACTTTGTGACAGAAAAGAATGTCATCTCCTATCCGGAATGCATGACTCAACTCTACTTCTTCCTCACTTTTGCTATCTCAGAATGTCACATGTTGGCTGCCATGGCATATGATCGCTATGTTGCCATCTGTAGCCCCCTGCTTTACAATGTCATCATGTCTCATCAGGCATGCTTTTCCTTGATTTTAGGGGTGTACATAATAGGCGTATTTTGTGCATCTGTTCATACAGGCTGCATGATTAGAGTTTACTTCTGCAAGTTGAATTTGATCAACCACTATTTCTGTGATCTTATTTCCATCTTAAAGCTCTCTTGTTCTAGTACTTACATCAATGAAGTATTGATACTAGTCTTTAGTGCAATTAATATCCTTGTCCCTAGCCTGACCATTCTCGGCTCCTACATCTTTATCATAGCCAGCATCCTTCGCATTCGCTCCACTGCAGGCAGGTCCAAAGCCTTCAACACCTGCAGCTCCCAGATCTCAGCTGTTGCTGTTTTCTTCTCTTCTGCTGCATTTATGTATCTTAATCCATCATCAGTCAGTTCCATGGACCAAGGAAAAGCCACTTCTGTGTTTTATACTATTGTTGTTCCCATGCTGAATCCCCTGATCTATAGCCTAAGGAATAAAGATGTCAATGTTGCCCTGAAGAAAATGTTAGAGCGAAGAGTACACTTATGAAGAAAAGTGCTATGGAGTATATATATCATATCTGTCATGAAATATTAATCTTTAACTATTCTGCTCTATAAATTAATATGTGTCATTGTAGTCCCTCAAAAAGTTTCTTCATTTGTTGGGATTCTGTTGACATTTTTAATGATCATAACCCCTTTCATGATCTTTCTCTCCAGGTAATCTCATAAGTGTAACTGAGGCATAGACTATAAAAATAACAGAGGATGGTATGCATATTGTTACTCACTAAGTGCATCTCCATCACATTGTCCATTTGCTTACATATGCTTCTTAGCATAATAACAATACCATCTTCCAGCAGTGATTGGTGCTCTACATTTTATTGCTTGATGTTGTCTTCAAATTAGTTGTTTAGATTACCAGAATGTGAAGAATTGGTTTTAAAAAAACAACAAAAACAGTCCTAGCCCAGGTCCAGTGAGTGTGTGGAGAGCTTCCTGCTACCCTGCGCCGGCGGGACCAGTCCCAGCCCAGGTGCAGCGTGGGCCGGACCCTCTCCCACCCCCTCGGGCCGCCCCCCACCACTCCGCCCTATCTGCCCCACCCCTCCCGCCAAGTAGGAATTT